ATATATATTCGTTTACGACACGCATTTTCAGTCTGGTAAAACAATCACACTGATAAACTTTTTTATTTCGGTATTTTGAAACATAAAACTTTACGAATTTGTAAAATAGAATTTTTAGATGAAGAATCGCACGTTATTTCCTAAACACAATAAGAAATAATTTATCTGCATTTCCCTGATTTTGTTGATATTGAAATTTAATTTTTTCTTTTTGTTCGAAAGTTTATCAAAAAATTTCGTCCTTTTATTAATCATCTTAAACAGATTAATAAGGTTACACAAAGAATTTCCATCCGAAAGCTTTAATAGCGTAGGAAACTGCTTGAATATCAGGAATCCTCCGATTTCGCCTTAATCCGGCCCGTTTTCTATTTAATATACAGATCCGTATCAAACTTTCCTTCAGAAAACGGTCTTTTCGTCCTTATTTCAACCAAATAAACACAAATAACGACACCAAAAATACACTACATTGTCCACTATAATTTTGACCTCGGCATTTCATGAGTTAGCACAGGTACTGTATTTAGGTGTGCTTCATGACGGCTGGCCTGGCAGTAGGTCGCGAAAGGGGTTATTCAGGAGGCGGATTTTGACCCCCAATATGACTATCGACTTTAAATTTGCCCGTCTTGGGCTCGAAGATAGAGCTTGGTTAACGATTAAAATTGGTGTTAATTGGGTTAGTCTTTGGAATAGGGTTGTCAGGCTTAGACTATTGCTTGGATTTGAGGTCGAGATTAGGGTCAGAGTTTTAGGGCTTGGCTTAAGGTTACGGTGACGTCTGAACATTCCTTAGGGGTTAAAGACTTCCCGTTGAAGGCGTGGACATGGTTGACGTTGAATTTGTAACTAACAACGATCTCCCCAAGGGGGTTACACACCATACCCTTACCGACTCGTGAACCGAAATCGACTGTCAGGACGAGAAGCGATTAATCTCTACGAACAGCGGGATTGTGAGCTATGAGCCAGGATGGCATCTGTTTCGGATTCATTCTTGCCCTATACAACAGCATGCGTGAGTAGGTGCCAGACGGGGTTTTGCGCGCACACAAACAGCGAACACAATCACCAGAAGACGCCATAGCCGGAGGGTTAACACCAGCATAAAGTCGAAGTTTTATCAGTGCGTTCGGTCAGGCCTAAGACGCCACTCATATGTGCATTCGTTTTAATACAAGAGCTCGAAGTACACTTGATAAGAAATATCAACTAGCGAGGAAGGGCTAGATCACCGGCCTTATCGTCTATGTGATATAACCTAATTCCGGGGCGGCATGAATTAACCCAAGCTAACTGCTGCCCATGTTGGCCATGGTTTTTCACATCTCCGTTGTCTTTAACAGTTAGTCATTTTTCGATCAGGCGGACGATTACATTCCGCAACCCCTAGCACAGTCACTACTACTACTACTACTACTACTACTACTACTACTACTACTACTACTACTTCTTCTACTACTACTACTACTACTACTACTACTACTACTGACAGTTCGACCGTCGATTTCGACGATGTCCACCGTGTGCCCCACAGCTGCAGCAGCGGTGGGAGCAGGGACGGTGACTTACGCAGGGGTTTATAGTGCCAGTAGACTTGCGTAGCATCTACCTACACTCTCTCCTCCTCCCCCAGTAGACTTGCGTAGCATCTACCTACACTCTCTCCTCCTCCCCCGCCTGGGCCCGGTGTCAAGACAGAGTCAAGAAGACCGGAGACGAGGGAGGCCGCAGGTGGATGGCTCGGACGGATCCTCACCTTGGCGTTCCACCACACCCCCTGGTCCACACAACAATAACCAGGATTTGAACCAACACAACATAGATTTGGAGGCTGGCACAGCCGAAGCCGCACCTGGGCGTGCCGCCAACGCCTGGCTCGGATCCCACACTGTGGTGGGAATGCCATAAAGGCCACTACTACTACTACTACTACTACTACTACTACTACTACTACTACTATGACAGTCGGCACAGGGCTGGGGTGGGTTGTCTGCGTGGCGCCAATGAGACCGTGCAAAGATGAATTGACGGGGTAAACCGTTAGAACTTAGATTTTACTGTGCTATTAAATCCTACTTTACGACCGTCACTGGTGCTGCTGGCCGTTGACTGGAATGGATATTTCTGGCTTATTAGCCGTCGTCAGCCAGTCCTAACCAACCCCGAAGTGTGGACCAGCTGAGGCTCGATCCTGCAACCTGTTGGTTAGAAGTCCAACGCCCTGGCCACTCTTAATCTTCAACTCTGTAAGAGTTTTTTCGAGCTGTACCATCAATTTCCTCATTGGTTCCCCGTCATATCGGACGCCTGTAGATCTTCCAGTTGGATGTTGGCCTTATTCAGTGCAACTTCATTTGTTGGTTGACAATGATTGCGCGTGGTTTGTGCGCAAAGGTACAACCTTCTGCCTACGTAGATGCTTTCTCCCTTCGGATTCCAAAAGGGTCGATCTGCCTTTGGCTACTTGGTCGACCAGATCGGTGTCTGCGGGGTGGAAGTAAGCTTAGCTGTTCGGCGATTTTAGTCGTCCAAGTGTCAGTTGTCCGAAGAAAAGATATTAGACTAAACTTTCGTCCTCACCTTGAAATGAATCAATTATAATTCTGGGGTTATGCGTCATTTCAGCGTTCCATTTTACTCGTGGTTCTCTGGCCTGTCTTGTAGTCGTCTGTTGGAAGAGCGTAAATGACTGTTTGCCGATTGGTTCAGTGCATTTGCAACCGCCTGCTTCAAAATCCCGATGTGGCTGCGCAGTCGAGGGAGGCAGTCCTAGACGGTAATCAGATCATTCGCCTGAAGTGTAGCGTCACCCACCGTTTCGCCAGATTTGTGTCAACCGGTGACCTCTACGACAAGCTCTTCGAGAACACATGGATGCGAAGGTGCATGTGGAGGAAATTAGTGTGCATGATACTTACTCTGAAAGCCTGAAGGTTCGATCTGTTTCAGACAACCAGTCGTAAGCCGACCGGGAATGGAGGTAAATCTGGTCACCCGAAAACCGGCCAATCACAAAGTGAACATTGCGGCCCTCAGTGAGACCTGGTTTTTTGAACAAAGACAACTGCAGGAGGTGGGTGCCAGGGTGGAAATTCGAAGGTTGGACAACGAAACACCAGTTGTCGTTTTTGCCACAAGGAACGGCGTCGTGAGGCGACGGTCACGCCCGTTGCAGGAAATCAACGGTCGCCTCACGACGCTGTGCCCGATACCTCACAGGAACAGATTCATCATCGTCATCAGCGCCTACGCTAACCCCGCCTCCCCTCTCTCCCCAAATTACCAGCTCCGATGAAGCCAAGAATAAGTTCTACGAAGACCTGCATATCCTTCTAACAACTATGTCGATTGTGGACAAGCGGCTTGACCTCGGTGACCTCAATGTCCGCTCCGGCGCGGACCCTGTTGTCTGGGTGGAAGTGTTCGATTGCCGAGAGATAGACAGCCGCAACAGCTGTGACCATCTCATCTAACTAGTCTGCACAGAACACAGCTGTCTTCTTTAAAAGAAGACGAAGGCACGATCACTGAGACAGTAGATTTATTGGTCTTAGCTTTCGAACTCGAACTGTAGTTCCTCATCAGAGCCTGCTAGAGTGCAGCAACGTGTGAACATTTATATCGTTTGGCCGTGAGGGGGGGACTACGTCCGTGGCTAGGTCTGGTTTGTGCCGCCTGGCCCACAATGGTCCCCCGGCGTGGCACTTCGCAGCGATGTGAGTTGCGTCACCTGGCTGCGTGGGCGGAGTGCGTGATAACACGCAGGCAAATCAATGTGTCTATTGATAGAGTTGGTGCCCGACACCCACGCCTCCAACAGTTCTCGCCCCGTCTTGTTGCCGGTTCGCGCCAATATCCGCGTGTTGACGAAGTCGAACTCATGGCCTTCCTCCAGCGTGTGAGTGACGACTTGAACTAGTGGGTCGCCTCTCCGAACGGCTCGTTTGCGCTCAAGTATCAATGAGCTGAGACATCGTCCTGTTTGGCCTGTGTAGTGGCAAGGACAGTTATGGCACGGGATTTGATAGACTACGCCCGACTGCTCACTTGAGTCCAGCCGATCCCTCATTTTCATGATTCTGCTATGCATGGTAGCCGCCGGATGATGAGCGATGCCCACGCCTAACTCTGACGCAATGCGTTCTGTAGCCTCGGACACATTCTTTATGTACGACAGGAAGTGCCCAATTGTTGGTGTCTCTCTTCCGTTTGTCCGTCGTGGGTGCATGCGTATGCAGCGGTTGATGAAATTATTTGGGTAGCCGTTCTTTGTTAATTGGTCCGGGAGATGCCGTAGTTCTTCCATCCTTCCTTCTGGCTCGCTACATTGCGTTTTTACCCGGTCGAAAAGCGCCTTCACACGGCGCCGTTTGTGCACAAATGGGTGGTTTCTATTATAGTTGAGGACCTGGGTTGCATTGGTCGCCTTTCTGTACAATGTAGTGCTGAGTTTAACATCAGATGTGCGCGTGACGAGCACGTCCTCTGACCCACGCCAGCTTCCGCTTACCGGTCAACGGAAAGACGACGTGGATGCATCTTCGCTCACTTCGCTGGCAGCTGCTGCGCTACGTCCTCGTTTGTAGACGATGTGTTGGTGACAGACCTGATATGAGATGCCGACGACCAGATGGACCGTCGTCTTATCACCTTCAAAATGAGTCTGTAGATTCAGCCCGAAGGCGACTACAGGGTAAGTTAGGTAGTGTGCCGGTCAGATTTCGGCAGTTGCACACATTTCTTCCTGAATCAAATGCAAGATTTGCGGTTGAATGACGCGTCAGTTGCGGGATGCCATTAAAGCCACTGTCATGGATACTCTTGACCGCGCACGTCGTTAGCACCACGACTGGCTTGCTGACAACGATGCAGAACTCCGCACTCATCTCTGCGAGGAACACCATCTACATACGACCTTCAATACCAGCAACAGCAACGTCAACAAAATCCCATACTTCCGATGCCGGCGGCTAGTACAACAGAGGCAGAGGGAGATGTTGAATTACTGGTTGACTTGCAGGGCAGCGGAGATCCGGGAATATGCCGGCTGTGGTGAAATGAAGACTTCCGATGAGACCATCAAAGTAGTCTACAATCCGCAAGCCATGGAGACTGCGTCACTGCTGAGTCAGGACGGAGCGATCCTCCTAACGCAGAGTCCCGGACCCCGGAGCGCTGGACCACACACTTCCAGGGCGTCCTAAACCACTCGTTGGCAATCAGCGAAGAAGTCATCAACCGACTTCCTCAGGTGGACACCAGCGACTACCTGGATCGTCGCCTTCCGTCCTCGGGACAATCAGAGCGGTGAAACAACTGTTTAGTTGAAAAGCACAGGGCGCTGGAGCAATTTCAGACAATGTCTACAAGCATGACGACCCAGGACTAAGAAAAAAGTTAACCTCGTCGTTCTAGGAGATATGTGAACAAGGACAAATCCCCCAAGACTTCAAAGATACCCAGATCGTGTATATCTGCAAATGCTAGGAGACCGTCGACTCTGTAATAACCCCAGAGGCGTCTTCCTTCTCAATATCACAGGAAAAATCCTTGCCCGAGTCATACCCAATCGTCTGAACACACATCTGAACGCAGTGCGGGTTCCGAAAACATTGAGAGACCACTGATTTAGTCTCTACGACCCGCCAACTGTAAGAAAAGGGCCAGAAAGTCCGGACTACCCGCTTCAACGTCTTTGGGGATCTGAAAACGGCCTTTAACACAGGGAATTTCGATAAAATATGGATAAGCGCTCTGGAAGCCAGAGGTGCGGACTGATTCACACAAATGGCAAGAAGACCAGATGGTGGCGCGCCTCACGGATATCGGGGCGGTCTCTCAGGCATTCACAGGGGCTAACTGAGGTAAACAGGGCTGTGCACTTGCTTTCACAGTCGGGTCAAAAGGAATTATTTGAAATCTGCCATACAACTTATGACTTACATGAGCCTAGTGGCCATCTAATGCATTCTATATGTATTACTTAGGAAATCCTGCTTGGACATTCAGCTTGCTGCATCAGATTTGGTTGATCCAGACGTAACAGTAAGTTGGGCGGGTTAACTTGACCCAAATGTACGTTATTATACGGTAGGCAGCATATCTCGTGAAATCTTACCCGAAATACTAGAATGTTATTTTGATTAGAAAAGATTACTTAGGGAGGATTGTAATATTGATCATCATAGAGAAAAATCTGAAAACATTTTAACCAGGGCAGGATAACGGTTTTTGCACGCGCTCCTTTCCGACTGCATGCGAAAATCCTACTCGATAAAAATGGACGCCTAGGTGGTGTGAATTTTTTTTAATTCCTATACACTTATAAATTGCAACATTGGCAGAGGGGCGTTCACCAATCTTGTTACGGAACTCACTCATCCCGTTGTGCCTTAGGGCTCTCTGTCGAGCCCGACCAGCAGCCGCACAGCAGCGCGTAATAGAGGCAGATCAACATTACCGACATGGACAAGGGAGATTGGAATCGGCCATTTCCGGCTTATTAGCTGTCGTGAGCCACAATGTCCAACCCTGAGGTGTGGAACACATGGTATACTGCCGATCAGTGATGGCCAACAGACTGAAGGGAGACTGGAATGGCCATTTCTGGCTTATTAGCCGTCGTCAGCCAGCCATACCCAAGCCCGAAGTGTGGAACACCCGAGCCTCGAACTCGCGACCTGTTGGTTTAGAAGTCAACGCCTCTACTCACCGGGCCACGAGCCCGTTGCCCTGTCGGTTTTCGATCGGGAATATACAATGTTAGGGGGCGCTCACCGATCCGGCCCGGAATCTGACCGGTGAACTCCACTGCAGCACATATATAGCGGGGCGAAGTAGAGAGAGAGAGAGGGGGAAAGAGAGAGATGGTGCCGCTAACCATTTCTGGTTACTGATTTCTTATCGGATTCAATACGAACAATCCGCTGACAAAAAAGAACCCTTCAGGATGTTCATCTCCATGAAGACTGTTTTCACAACACAAGCTTGAACATTTTTTCGCATATTTGATCGCATCCCTAATGCTGTCCAATGCCGAAGCATGCGATTTGACAGTCGCGACCGTGAACCGACGCCTCTGAATGCTCTTGTCATCAAATCCCTTCGAATTTGCTAGAATATTGTCGTATATCATAACCGAAACTAAAACCAGACAGCATAGGCCACTGTGGGATCTACATTTGGCGCCGAAAAACACGAATCATTCAGTGAATCCAGTCAATATAATTTCTGGTGAGCATTATCATTTACGGTGTCTGACAGCATAAAACGCAATCCCAGGTGGCCTTTTATTTTGAACCTTCCGGTCCATCAAATAAGTTCACACACGGATGAATGTGACCGCTTCAGCAGTTTACATTTGTCTGTTAGTGAGACCTGACGGTTACATTCATTTAGCTAGCACTGGCTGGAGGATTTTGATAAAAGGCACACTTCTTTTGATAGGTTTGTAGAAACTCGGCTGTGCTTAAGAGCTTATGTTTTGAGAAGCTAAATGTTTCAAACTGAAAAAAATCAGAAATCTAGACAATTCCTCAAATCCTTGGAATTTCCAATATATCTAACTGATGACAGAGGGGCGTTCACCGGTCGTTTTTACGGAACTTATTCGTCCTGTTGTGTCTTACGGACTCTCTCTCGAGCCCAAACGGCAGCTGCAGAGCGGTTCGTGATATTGGCAGAATGTTAATACCGTCGAATACAGGGGAGAGTGGAATAGTCATTTCTGGCTCATTGGCATTGTATATTCTCGATCGCAACCGGCAGGACAACAAGCCCATGGTTCAGTGGTTAGAGACGTTGGACTTCTAACCAACAGGTCGCGGGATCTAGTCCCAGGTGTTTCATACCTTGGGGTTGGGTATGACTGGCTGACGACGGCTTATAAGCCAGAAATGGTCATTCTAGTGTCCCTTGTCTTTGTTCGTAATGCTGTTAGACCTAATTGAGTTATTTAGCATTCCAAAGGGCCGGAAGCTGCATACACTACTTCATTTGCGCCTTTTCGGGGCGAGGTTGTCACATTTGGGCCTGGAAAACCGTCAAATGAGAACCAGCGTGAGATCCATATAGTTGCGACATGAAAACCCAGGAAATTGGCGAAAACCTGTTGGGATTTTGGACTGTAACACGCCTTCGGTGTGCGGTGGAATTTTTTATGTTCAAAGCAATCAAATTAGTAGCAGATATGCAACTCGGATCACAACACAACTAGTCAGCTGAAGCCAGCAACTCTCGATGTCAGTGTGTGCTTAAGGATCACCATCGAACCCGAAATTACGCTAATAATTCTTGAGGAAAATATAAACGCCAAAATGGCAACCGCCTGCCTTTAGCCGAAAGGCTGGATGAGACTACAGCTGTTAACTAGTCCCTCTTCTCTTCCTTTATCCAGCAAAGCTGTGGAGAGACGACAAACAGAAATAGCGATGTGACATCCAGTTTTCCCTCGCCCCTTTGCTTGGTGACGAAACTGAACGTGCATGCGTGAGCTCGAAGCTTCGTACGCCGGCTTTGCAGGGCTCAGCTGACAGGCGGGCAGGCCGTCCGTATTCCTGCTCCTCGCGCTGGCTTCATTCGTCAGCCTAACCAACACGCACGTGACGCGTGCGCGAACGTTTCAGTCAAGGCTACGGCTGCGGACGCACGAGCTTGCCACGCGTGTAGACGTCAGAAATGACCCTAACACTGTCCAATCAGAGGCCGCGATCTCTGGCACGTAATCGGCGCGCGTGCATCGCTCTCCCTTGCGCACGAGAAAAGTACGCGCGATGCCGTGACGATGCCGCGTGTAACACGTGAGAGGGAACGCGAGGAAGAGCGCTGACTTTAAGTTTGCCGACGCGCCACGCATTTTGCATGGCCGCCCGCGCTGGACTACGAAGCGTGGTCGCGGGCTTTGCAAGACTGTTTCATTCGCAACAGTCGAAATTTACTCCACGCTGGGATAACCAAAACAAGGAGAGTGGGCTGGGTGTTACCTCGATTTTTTTGAAACAAACTCCCGCGTTGTATGGGGTGCCAGCTCGCCAGTCATGGCTCACTGGACACGACGCTATGGGAGTCATGGAGACCGAATGTGGCGGAAATACGTCGCGAAACCGGGCTCTGATGAAAACGGAGAAACGTTAGTGAGATGTCTAGACAAGCAGCGGGATCGGTAGTCGATCGAAGGCAACTGGCGAATAATAAATCTCGATGGACCCGAAACTCAAAGCCACGCCCCACATGGTAACACATGTAAAAGCGAGAGAGAGAGAGAGAGAGGGGGGGAGGGAGGGAGAGAGGAATCCGCTTTATTTTGAAATCACAAATTCAAAAGTTTCAGCAAAAGATTGGCTCCATTCATTATGGGCAGTAAATAAGTTAATAGATTATTCCCGAATCAAAGAGGTTAACACAAAAGAAACGTTTATTGTGAAAACATTTCAAGTCTTAGCCTCTGTATTTCTGTCTCTTCACACGTGAGATAGCGCGGCAGGAATGGCAATACAGAAGCTCGAAAAACCGATGAGCGACAAGACATAAGTCCGAAGCTGCGGCGCATCGGGCAGGAAGACTTCGCAGAAATAAGATCAGAATGCAAGGAATGGACAACGTCATCTATAATCCGACCAGCAATTTGCTTGACTGTATGGAAATATCGTTGAAGGATAGTGTCGAGTAAAAAAAGATAAGAAACACCAGCGGCAGAAACGAGCTTTCGGAGGACTCGTTTTAAAATTAAAAGATCTTTTTTGAGCAAAGCAGGAAAAATGACAGCAGAGCAGTATAGGATAAGAGGAAGAATGCAGGCATCGATGAGTCGCCAGACTAAGGGTTGGGGTGTGTGGTAGGAACGTAAACGACGAGTGTAATAAAGAAGTTTACGAACTTTAATAAAAAGGGACTCAATATGGAGGGCAAATAAGAGATTTGAGGACAAATTACAGGTGATTAGTACAGGTGAGCACTCTTCCCAATGCCAGGATCGGTGGGCCAGATCGTCGATCAATCATTACCCCAACATGCAGCACACGTGATGAAATTGCAGCAATTAACGACGCGAATGTCGACCATCAAACTGTCATCACACCAAGTGCGGCGATCTCGGATGAAGGGGGAGCCGTGAATATTCATAGGTATGCGGTGGCATGGCGACTGCATCCTATAAGTACTACAGTCCCTTGTGCATGAACCGCCTGTATCTGCTTTTGTCTCTGAT